TGTTATGTAACTTCAAATCTAGAAAACCAGCTTGCAATCTGGTTATTAGAGCCTTCTCGAACTTCTAGCTTATGATATATGCTGGTTCTATAGGTGTCGATAAGGACATTTGAGTGGCTAGTTCCAACATTAATACAAGAACAGAACAAAATGTAGAATTTAGAAATCCATTGTTAGCTAAATGGGTTTGTCCACATACTAAGTAGCAGCCATTTGAAAGATTTTTTTTCAATCGTAGGAACTTTTAACAAACACCTTCCCCTTTCTTTAACTATCTACGTAGTTCATGGATAGTATAAATCTACAAATATCTGTAAAATTCAAATGTTTTGATAACTTTGAAAGTCCAAGACCTCAAAAGCTCTTCAATGCACAGGAATACTATTTTTATGATTTAAAGAATCAAGCTAGGAAATTGAGGCCTTGAATCCTTGAATCGTTAAAATGAAATATTGGTATAGTTCAGGAATCGTGGATTGAACTGGAAATTTATAGCGAGATCTCATGCTAAGACCAATCTTCCTAAACCCGGTTTAAAGAATACATATTAAGTTTGAATCATGAAAAAATAAGATTAGTTCCATCGTAAAGCTATGATTTATTTGATTTTGTTGAAAATTTGCGGAACCGTTCCTTATGACCGACATTTATCCCTGTAACTTTTATAGTCCAGCCATATTCGGCCAAATGGCCACATCACATTGCAAAATCAGAAACCATAGGCTTTAATTCGTTCGTGCAGAAAACCATTAGTTGAAGAAGAAGATTATTCTAAAAAAACAGCTCATGAGAAAAAGAATGGTAAATTTTGTGATTTGGCCAAATGACCCATCAATAAAAAAAAATCCATATCAAAACCCAGCTAAGCCTTTGGCTCTAATCTGAAAATAACAAAAATAATGAACACACATAAAAAAGATTAAGATTGTTCTCAAATAACAGCTTTTGAGAAAAATAATGCAATATTGTGATTTCTTATTTATATAAGAATTATGTCGAATAGTTAGGCATAACGGACCCTAAATATCCGGAGGTGAACCAGCCCCAGGCTGAAAGCCTCCCTAATAAAGAAAACCTAACCGTTATGTCTAACGTCCATTATGCCAACCATCCATTATGCTTATTGTACAATATGCCTATCGTATTTATGCCTAACGTATGTATGCCTAATGTCATGCACCCGCATGGAAGGTAATGTTATGGTTAAATTTTGCGTCAGTTTGTGAATCGTATATATTTATGAGACCAGTTCTTATGTATTCCCTTCCTAAGACACTTTTTATACAGCATGTTGATTTTTAATATTTTTTTGGATAGCTTAAAGCTTTGAATAAGTAGCATTAATCAATAATTGAATTAGTGCTACTTCTTTCGATTTTTTGTTAACTTTGGTTTGCAGTTGAAAACTAAGTTGGTGAACCAGCCCCTGGCTAAAAACCTTGTAAATAAAAGGAAAAAAAAAACTAAGCTAGGGTAGGGTCCCAAAAGATTAATTCTGATATATGCACGTGAAAAAATAAACTCTGTTTGGAGAGTATTTTCATGCTTTCGATCCCGAAATTTGTGTACAGATTATTATTTTAATTAATATTATAAAAATGGGATCAAATCTCTACGATTCCTAGCATAATTTATGAAAAAAATAGTTTTTGAAATTATGAATTATGTCAACATGATATCCATCAAGAAGGTAGTTTTGGATAGATCTGCTGCATTATATTTTGAAAAGATTTTTCCCACGATCAATTTTGGGTGTGTACATTCTCTATGTCCTGGAATGGAAGATCATGTAATTTTTACACGTCTAACGGTAATTTAAAAACAAAATAAAATTCAGACTGCCATTAAATTAAACGCACGATTTGTCGTTAATTTTATCCACGCAATCATAAACTCATAAAAACATTAAGGTACACCGAGGCAAGTGTGATTGCAGGGTAAGTAGGAACGGTCATTTTTAAATCTGAATGCTTAAGTGTGGCTGCGATAAAACAGTAAACTCCATAGAGCATCAGCAGTTAGTCATCATTGGCTCTACGGAGTTTCCCATTTAATTTTTTTAAATATGCCTTTGAATTTGAGTAAATTTTACGTGATGTTCCACCAGCAACGATAGTTTTTTTTTAATGTACATAAAAATGTTGGCAACTTTCCCTTTGCTACGGTCTTTTTTAATCAAGATTTTGGTTTTAGGACATATTTTTAAAAAATCTGACTTGATTTGAAAATAAAAATAAAACCAGTAGGGGAAACGCTCTTATAGTTGCGGTACGTTAGAAGCGTTAGGTTCCTATAGTTCTGCTAGGAGAATCAATACACAACTATAGGAACCTAACGCTTCTAACGTACCGCAACTATAGGGGCGTTTACCCTAGTATTAAAAAGGCTCGTGGACTAGGAATGTTTATAAGAATAATGGCAATTTATGGAAATTTCAACAGAATTTTGGCATGGGTTTCCTAAGAAATTTGAGGTAAATTTAAAAGAAATTTTACTGATAAATCCAACGGATTGCTTTTGTAATGTTGATGTAGAATTCTTCAGATATTATGGATAAAATAAAATATGAATATTACCAGAGATGTCCCCAAAATCTTCCTAAATAGGACGAGTCTGAAAAAAAACTATGCGGAAGAAAATTCCGGAAAAAAATATGGGAAGAGTTCCAGGGGAATTATCAAGTATGAACGCCACGGTAGAAATTTTTCCCATATACACGGTATTTTTTTGCAATATTTGTAAATTTTTAAATACTGTAAATACTCAAATATCTCAAAATTTCCTTGTTCAATTTTTATGATTGAGGGGTCGAGTTTCATCGATTTGTCATTTTACGTGGAACTACTCTATTGCGAATTTCTATGGGAGATATTTGAATTTCACTTCTATTACTCTATGTTTGGTTCAAGTTATCAGAATACTTTCAAAACTTTATACATGACAACCGAGGGGAGCGACACATCTAAATCTCAATTCTAGATGCTCAAAAAATCTCACGCTAGCGAATAAATCTTCGAAAAATCTTCTTTTATTTCTCGCATCTACTAATCTTCTTTCTATCTACTCAGCGTACGCGCAGCTAGCCACAGCAAAACGCAATATTTCCTGCATCGTAGATAGAGTCGTCCCCCTCGATGACAACTATAAACAAGCCTGTCGTTGTTGTCAGGCAAATATTCAACTATCAATTTACTCTAACTTGATTTTTTTTTTTCATATTTTTATCTTTCTTGAAATCACACTGATCGTAACAAAAACAAGCTAGTTAGTGTTTGTTATAACAACCACATGTTAAATTTCTAAATCATTTGGACTACTAGAACTAAAGTTTCAGTGATATTTGTGATATTTAAATTGTCTTCATAGTAATCCTCATACAAATGCAAACCATTTACGTGACCGCTAGACCTTCATCAATCTTTACCATTTTGTGCACATACTTGTATCTTGGAGTTATGAATAAAACTATATGGTAGGCAATTAGATTGCAAATTCTTTTTAGGGAATGAAGAAGTCTAATGTTGATAAAATTATGTTTTACATAATTTTTCATCGTACCCATTTTTTCCGTGTTGGGTATATTCATCACTGCAACCATTACTTTGATCTATTGTGATATATTTCCCGTTTTTATATTGCTTTATCAGTATGTCATGTCACTATTTTGTGAAGTGACCGACATAGACTGACCAAAAGCATTTTCCCAGCCAGGTATTACATTTCGAATAAAATGTACTACTTGACTGGAACCTGCATTCCAAATAGCAAAGGGTTCTGCCAGAAAAAATATTCCTTTTATTGAAGATTGCTGCACAAGGGCATAGCAGGGGTTCAGAGTCTTCTTTTTCTATGCCCCAGAATCGACACACATCCTCTTGAAGTTTTCCTAATAACTTCAAGTGATATTTACATGGACAATGTCCTGCCATCAAACCAGTATAGACACTGAGATATTTCTTTGATAATTCAAGAATTTTGCTAGTGATTGAAATGTTCGGAATTATGAACCGTTTCGATTGCCTTGGAATGGAAGTGTTGTTCCAATTGGTCTCCACCTTATTTTTTTTTGGGTACCCATTTAGAGAGATTTAAAATCATCTCATAACCATTATTAATTATGCTGAAAAGTGTTGGAACACCCTCCAAAGGCGCGCCCCTTTGTCAGTCAAAAACGGATTCCTTTTCTACAAAATCCAGCATCAGCAGCGAATAAAAGATTAGGAATCACGAAGATGAAAAATAACTACCTAACTATTTTTTCCGTGTTTCAAGTTCATCATCGGTGGACAAAGCCGAGTCTTGTCACTATCAACAAGGCTTAAAAAGTAAAAAGAACTAAGATGTGTTCCTTTGATTACAAAAACAATCCTGTTCCCCTAGTTTGAAGTAGATTAGACTAGGCATCGGTGGTAGATCTTAATGCCAGTAACGCACCATGAAAAGGTAATCTACCAGGCGTTACTGGACTCGCTTCCTTGTAGCTTCGCCAGTAAAAGCACGGATTACCATGCGCGCTCAATTCCCAGATCGGTCTTGGAACTTTTCAAGTTTTAAATTTTGTCGACTCACTGAGTATCGTTGTGATTGTGCATGTCAAACAATTATACGACTACATAAATGGTAGAAAGCTCTCAAATAACACTAAGTTGAGGACAGTCACTAAGTTCCAGATGAGACGTATTAGTCGAAAAAAAGAAGAAGATATTTTTAGAACAGTAAGAACCAGTGTTCGGAAATACTCAAAAACTTAAATCTCATGCATAAGTTTATGCGCCTATGAGTTTTGCATTACAAAATTCAACGTCGCAAAAATCACCGTTGAGTTTTCAGGCTCAATAATTCATTTATGTATATGTTGGCGCTATTTATTGTTATTACTATTGTTTGTACATCAGGGGTTGGAAAACTAACACAACATGCATAAGCATGCTATCAATTTCCTTTAGAGATGATTCTATAAGCTTAAAGCTGGAATGATTTGTTGGCTTTCTGAGTTCAGAATCTCAAGCGTGAATTTTGTTTTCCGCATTCGCAAGCGAGTTTACTCTCGCGAGGAGGCTCAATGAATGAGATTTGAGAATGATTTTCTGAACACTGGTAAGAACTGAAATTCACTTTCCATTTCCCAGTTGGTTGTATTTTAACAAGAAAAACGTTGGCTGCTGTACATTATTCTAACTAATAGACGAACTAGCCAAAGGCTGAAAGTCTCTATAATAAAGATATACACCTGTGTTTAATATAAAAGCAGCGCATGCCGATTTCCATACAAAATGGTTAACTTTGACAAGTTGTAGCTTTGTTCACTTATGATTAATTGAGCTGAAACGTTCGCCACAGAACTATAAATATGTTCAATTTTACGATTACAAAATACCACATTTTTGGAAGCACCTGCCAGAAAGTGAGACACTAGGTAAAATTGTTCAAAATAATAGTTAAGCGAACGTTTCAGCTCAATTGATCATAAGTTAACAAAGTTACATCATGTCAAAGTTGACCATTTTGTATGGAAATTGGCATACGCTGCTATTATATTGAACACAACTGTACATACACGATTCTAACAGGATGTAATAAACATATCCTAGCAGCACACTTGTCGTAAAACGGTGCGACTTATTTTAGTCACAACCAAGTTGCTGTAACTTTTCGTGACGGAAGTGTGCAACTTGGGTAGGTCATCCATGATTATCATTACATTCGTGATTATTCGTGATCATAAAACTTCCACCCATGCACTTCCACACTAATCTACACTCTAGCTAATCCCAAAAACACAGAACTCAGTATCTATTTAAATTTTCAGAACTATTAAGTTTCAACCATGTTGTTAATACCTCTTTCGTTCAAACTTTCTGTTTTCTTTCTTGCTTTTGTTTCGATGAAATGTAAAATATGTGCAGTCGACAGCAACCCTCACTACACAAAACAATCATCTACATTTGGGTGAAAATGTAAATACAAACGGCAACGCCAGCGATCTGGTTGTAGGTGCGCTGCGACATCAGCGCGATTTGTTCAGTGGCTCCCTTGGCATACCCGATGTCACGACACGTGTGGGCAGTGTAATACACGCATTCGAAACAATGGCCCGCCAACGGCAAGCACTAGAAAGAAATGCCGGCGAGAAACCGTACGACTCTACCGTGGGCCCCCGGTATCGCTCTCACAGGGCCAATGTAAAAAGAGTTAATGACAACCGACATAAAATCATATTGCCATCTCCTAAAATATCCCCATCCTCAACCGATTCCCTATCCTTTGTACAGCAATCATTCCCATCGAATACCTTCAACCAATTCTTGAACAACAGCAAACACAACAATAATAGCAGTAGCAGTAATAATCTTCATATAAATAACAATAATTTAGGACAGTATTTTCTCCATTCAAATAATCATAATAGTCATAACCAGGCGATGCCGAGAACGACTTTCCAGTCGAACGCTGGCTCCGAAATCCATTATAATCTGGCTAACGATAATGAATCAAGCAATTTCGATTCGTTGAATCTGGACGATGATTACCGTAAAAGCTCTTTTGGCAAACAATCAAAACTTCAACCGACCACCGTTTCGATTGGTACGGTCGGTCGTAATCAACATTTAAATGATGCTACTACTAGCACAGCCAACAGTAGCTCTAACTTGCGCAGTTCTTTTCAACCAGCAGGAGACACTGAACATAACAGCTTCAGTAGAAACAATCCGAACGTATTTTTCAACTCGGCGCCACCGCCACTACCCCAACCGCCGGCAATAGCATCCCAGGTCTCGGAAAAGGAGACACTATCCTCGCCGGCGGCATCGGCGACAAGCATTGGGGCTGCAAGGACGATAGTGGCGACGACACCGACTACGACGACAACGGTAGCGTCGCCGCAAACGTCAGCATCTACCATGCGCTATTACAACCACGATAACAACAATAATAATAATAATAGTGGCAATCGTCGATCCGCCCGAGCTTCTGGCGTCGGCGGCAATCCTGCGAATGACGATAACGATGGCGATAACAACACTAGCAATGACAAATTCCTTCGCGGTACCACTGTCAGTCAATCATTCATCAAGAACGTGAAGAACATGCGAAGAAAGTCCTCCTCGTACGATCTGCAAACTGCCAATGCTAGTCTAGGGGGAGGTACCGCAAATTCCTCATCCGTCGGTTACAAGCAGAAGAGCGGAGCGTTGATGACGACGGGCGCTAGACACCTTTACCGACGTGCACCGAAGGGTCCTGGGGCCTCTGATAATGACACTGATGAATTAACCACCACCACCAGCAACATGACCAAACCGAAAGAATCTGCTAACGTCGACAGTAATCGTGGTTCAGGTAAGCGGAAAATGTTTCAACCTCGAACGTTAGATAGGGCGGAAATTTGATGATTAAGTAAAAACTCAGCCATTAGTCTAGAATGTACTGTCGTAAAAATCTCACAAGAATGTACTCGAATTACTTTAATTGCAACCTCGTCTTTTTTTTACTTCGACTGCAATTTGTACAAACGATTTCACAATGACCGAACTAAAACACTAAGATGGTAATTACTTTTAGGCGAAAGAAACTCAAGTGTCATAAAATGAACCAAAAGGAAAAGATGAAAGAAAATATATGCTTTAGAAGGTGAAATGTAGCATTTAAGTATTTTCCCGTCCCTCTGCCAGCCAACATCCTTCCGAAACCAACGCAACCATTGGTGAAAGGAAAAATCTCGTTATGTTTAATATTGAAATCGACTCACTTTAAGCTCCATTATTGCGTTAAACTCTTTGAGCACCAAACTGAAAATGAACTCAACACTTTTTTTCAAAATTATGTACCTCGGAATCTACTCATCCGTTTTCTGTTGGTTTTGTACGGTTGGAAAGTTTATTTATTTAGCTAATATGTTAATCGCCCTAATAAAAAAATACCATATACGGATGATAACCCAAATCATAGAAATATTTCACAAATTGTTTGGATGAACACGACTGGAACACGACCATAAAAATTTTATTAGGGCACGCTACATGTTTGTGATTTTGTTTTTAAAGTATGTCATTCGATTACCTATGGCTTTAAACGGATAATGTGATTCGAATCAAGCCCATAGGTTGTATCGTTATCGAGAATTCATTAAAAACGTACCATGTAAATGGTGAATCAGCGGCGCTAACCGTGTAAAACAAAATTGCGTAAAAAAAACGTGTGATGAAAGACTTGAGCGTATTTTTATTAGCTTTGAGGGAAAAATATGCAAGGAAAAATCAATCATTAAATTTGAACTTGCTCAATTGACTTGATAAAATTTTAAATTCCAAAAATTAAACTAACAATCATACCAACTACATACCATGTGGCATAACCAAATGGGAACTAAATATCTTTCCATTTTTATTTTGGTTTGGTGCTCGAAGAGTTAACCATTCGCGTTGAATTTATTGGTTAATTGTTCCCTTTACAGGAGTTAGCAAATTGAAAATCTCTATTACGGATGAAAACGAATTAAATGGAATAAATCAAACACAAAAGTACTTCCAAGCTGTCATCAAAAAGACTTTATCATATACAAAAGAGTTGAACCTGTTTTTATGTTAGTTCGATCTCATCAGCTGTATAAAGAATAAAATCAAACATTTGTTGCAGAGAGCATTTAAGGAATATGCATTTTTAAATAGCAAATGAAATCATCATTAACAACAACAGAATGAAAAATATTTTATTAAAAAAAATATTGTTAAAATTATCACTGTAATGTATGTACAATGGAAACGAAAATTACACAAACCCGTACACTAAACATACACGGATAGCTGAGTTTGACATGGTTGAATCAAAAACAGCAAACGGAAATACTAACAATCAAAACAATGTGAAATATACGAAACGTGATGCAAAAAATAAAAATAAGGTTGTTTTATTTAAGACAAAAAATCACTATCTTATTCAGGTAAGTATTTTTATTTTATACAGGCCAATCACAGAAATTCTAACAATATTAAAAAATAACAATGTTTCTGTTCTGAGATAATGTTTGACCGAAAAATACATCTAAATACAAATAAGGAAATTATTGAATTAAAAAATATTTATCATAATTATCAAATATTTGTGTTATTTTAACGATTTCGTTACGGATGGATCATATACGCTATGGTTGGCTGTATAAAATCACAAGTAATGATTAGTTTGGTACCATGCATCAATTATGTAACGTAATGTAATGTATTTTCCTATACCTGATGCATTACTTGTCACAGAATCTTATGCTGCTCTACCCCCTTAGAGCGTGTCATATTAAATGTATCATCCTTTTCAGCAAAGTTGTGCATATATGAAAGGACAAGTTTATGACCAAATTTGAAGTCCTAGATGATGATATGGTATGGAACTACCACTCACTATAGCAAAACAATTGTAGGTAGACTGTGGACTATCCTCGCTGTTGTTAATAACCTACCATTGTATGAAGGGCCAAAATCCCAAACAACACGGCTTGTCATAAAGAAGTTGAAAATACGTTTCAATGAGTAACGTATAGAATCAATATTACTTTAATATATATCATTAAATACATTAATACAACCTAAAAAGCGCAAGACGTGGAGCTTTTTATAACATGTTTTGGAAATGTCATAAAAACCAGCGGCAAAAAATTAAAAACAAAATGAGCATGGGATTATAGACTTATTACCTCTTAATTAGACCAACTCCGCTTGATAACGGTTTTATAATAAGTATCTATCATGTTAATGCCAATAGCATGAAAATTATATTCTCGTGCAACATGCCTTCGATCCGTCATAAAGAAGTTTTGTAAGCATAATGCGTACATTTAATTACCAGAGTGTTATTTAAAAGTATTTTCAACTACTTATAAGACATCCTGCACCTTTTCAGTTACATTCATTTATGAGATGTCATAAAAAAGAGTTTTCAACTTTCTTTAAAACAAACCTCCGAAAACCTCATAAGAAACTGTCAATCACTGCGTGAAGAGACAGTTTGGCTCAATGGCGCCGTCAATCTGGAAAGTACAGAATCTCTTCAAGAGCTTTATAAATTCAACTAAGATTGATTTTGCATACGACAAATTTTATGTGGTTTTAAAATAGTAAGATGCACGTTTAAATACTCACCCCATGTTGCAAAGGAATCCATGACATTACGATGATTTCGAAGAGCTCCCATTGATATGCTGCCACTACTTCCTTATCCGGTGTTAAAAACAGCACTCTCGTCTTTCGTTCCTCACACTGCAGCGTAAACCCCCATCAACTACGAAACACACTCTAGTTGCTCCAACTAGAGGGACCTCAAGAGAGAAAAAAGGACTGCGTCCACTTTCCATCACCAATCACTCGCGACGCAACGGCTTCAGTTCATCAGTTCTTCTTCTTCGGATTTCAAGCTTATTGCATATCGCATATTAGCTTATTGCGTGCTCTCAACTTAGTGTTCTAGATGCACTTCCACAGTTATTAATTGAGAGCTTTCGATACCTGTACCATTTTTGCATTGGTATAATTGTGTGGCAAGTCCAATTATACTTCTATGCCCAGGGAAGTCGAGAAATTTTCCAACCCGAAAAATTCCTAGACCGAACCGGGAATTGAACCCAGCCACCTCCAGCATGGTCTTGCTTTGTAGCTGCGCCTTTACCGACTGAGCTAAGGGAGGCACCAGTACACAGTCTGTAAGACGCAGCGCCAGCTCTTCACCGGCCGGATCAACTCGCGACCAGCCCAGACGCAAACAAACGCGTCTAATAGCGGCCACGGCACACTTCGATTGACCAGATTTGAAGTCCTAGATCGCAAAAACCTTATGAAGATGTTATATTTGAGAACATGGACAAATACGATACCCTTACTCATCTTTGCCCTTACTGTGTTACCTGTCTTATAACGAATATACGTTGTATACGAGTACCCCAAATACAACGTATGATTCGTCTAATTTTGCATAGCATTTGCAATGTAAAATTAGACGAACTATACGTTGTAGTCGTATAAGTCAGGTAACACAGTAGCATTAAACAAAGATATCAAATTAACAAGATATCCCACTATGCAATTCCTCGAACAAGTCAATGGATACACCAACCTTATGTGATCGCAGTGTCATCTGGTGAGTGCACATTGAAACTATTGGGTGACCAACTTCACCGCCAGGGCTCAATAACTGACAGGTGTCAGCATGACAGATGTCAGCGGGGACGTTGATGATCAGCCGATGGAAGTTCAACGTTGTCTTGTCACAAACCGTATAGCGCTGTTATCTATCTCTATAAATTACAAATAGTTAAGGGGGTCTAGTTTAATACATGAAAATCTCTGGTCACGTCCTCCTTCGGAAGGGAAGTAAATCCGTTGGTCCCGGCCCATATTCTACGCAGGTGTGGAAGCTGCCTTCCTGCACATTCGATTGCCGTCAATGGATGGCAATCGATGTCCGTCGGTGATTGGCACTAGATGCAGAACAGAGACTAATGTTTAAAAAAAGAAAGAAGAAGATGAAGAAGTCTGGTTTAATGCGACCCCCTTCACTCTTTCGAATTTATAGAGACAGATAACAGCGCCATATGATTTGTGACGAGACAACGTTGAACTGCAGAGTTGGAAGGAAACACGCACACCAACATCCATGCATGTACGAAGGTGGTTGGTTGAAGGTGGTCATTTTTTAGCCGTTATCACATAATTGAAGAGCATTCCAACAGCTTCTGGTGGAAATTGAACGGAACTTTCAGAAAATAAATTAAAAAAGGTTTTTTTGTCCACACCAATTTTATATTTAGTTCGCACTTTTATGAAAGTTCATTCTAAAGTCAGGTCTTTACGAAAGTTATTTATGAAGGCAGGTATGAAGTGTATTGATTTATCAGCATTAGTAGTAGTATTGGAGCTGTTTGAAGAATTAAGCCCAGTCCTTCTGCGTGAGAGGCACAGCACGAACCGCTGCGTCATCTGAGATATATTAAGGTTCTACAAAGGCACAGGTGACAAAGTCTGTGACAAAGGGTAGGTAATTTTGTGTTCTTCTTCTTTTTTAAATATCATTAAATTATCATCATTAGTTTACACATACATTCATACATTATGAATACGAAAACTTAAAACATGTATTTCATGATTTTAGATCGAAAATCCTGGTAAAACACATTCACTGTATTTACTTACTTATGTTCTTCGAAGTATAGCACAATTAAACGCAATCGAATACAAGAAACTCAAAACGACTGCTTCACAAAACTCTTGATGAACAAAATTTATCACAAAGGAAACCATTTCTACTTTATTGCTTTGCTAGCAATCGTGAAAGTATCATTGAAACAGCGGTGCCAGATGTATTGCCTCCAGCAACGAATTTAAGTTTATTAAAACAAGTAATTGCGAAGTCTGACTCATTAACATAGATGAGTAGATGTATTTAATGGTGCATAAATATCAAAAACTGAATAAATAAAACATAAACGACCATTTTAGACATTTTACCGGTCCAATTAAAAAAGTCACAGAAGATTGAATTAAACACTAACAGGAAAGATGGCAGCATTGCACGTAACCTGTAATTCGCTTTCCCTCTCATGGCGGTAAACTCCAACTCGGATCAACATTTCATACCTGCCTGATTGAAGGATGTGCCTTTTTGTTTGTTAAGGGTCGTATAGATTGACATCGACATCGACACCATAGCAGCTTGACATTCGTGATCAGGAATTAATCCGAGGATAATACCGGTTGGAGCTTAGCACCATCAGGGGTGTAAACACAATTTCATACAGCGAGGTCCAGCAATATGATTTTTTAGCCTACCTGTCCTCATGCACTAGGTATCCGAGCAAAGTCGGTTAACAAAATGAAAGCAAATCGATATTAAAGTGTGCAGTTCCTATCATAATGAAAACTCATTTTGATTTCAAATGTTGCGACATAAGTCTCATATCATATTGTGCTTTCATTATGCAGTCAAGTCTTTTTAAATGAAAGCAACTTAAGTTGAAGTTCTGCTGTTTACGTCTTGTTTAAAATTTAATTGAAATTCATCTGTCGTTGAACTAATGATTATTGTTTATTTGATTTGTTTAACACATTTTAGGTCATTCGTGACTTGCCCGGGGTGAGATTGGAGCCCAAGTCTTTCAGCTTCAGAAACATGAATGGTAACCATTTACTCCAAGCTCGTATTCAGTTAAACATTATGAATGCAAAATCAGTAATCAAATTGATTTCATTGAAAGCAGGATTAGTTTTCCGTTTGATTCAACAGTGTAAAATTTTGCTCTCATTTTCATTTCTGAGTAGACAATTGTCCATACATGTTTTTAATTTGTATGGTCTGGGGATAATTGCCACCCCCCTCAAACTCTGTCTACGTAGTTTATGAACAGCCCCAATGAATTTTACCAATACATTTAGAAAATGATGATCGAACAATATTTCAAAAAGAAGAAGTAGACAAATTATTCACCCTTTGTAGAACCTTAAAAGTGAGCTGTTGTCCCGCCTACTGCTTTAGTTTTCAGTTTCAGCTGACTGACTTGAATACGAAACACAACACTGTAACCGTTTAGTTACAATGTCCTAGGTTTTAATTTGTGCATGTTGTTTTAGGAAACTGTAGTGTTTGTTTAGTGTCAGTGTTGGGTTAGTAGGATTAGTAGGATTGTAGGTAAAATTGCTGTTATTGAAAAATGTATAAATTTGTCTTAGTACTTACCTTACCAATCAGGCTAAGGCCTTGTTGTCCTCTGCTGTCCGAAGAAGTCGTCTCCACTCTACTCGATCCATGGCCACAGTTCGCCAGCCTCGTAGTCTGCGAAGGGTCCGCAGGTCACCTTCTACTTGGTGGATCCACCTTGCCCGCTG